ATTGGAGTTTGAAAAACCACATGAATTTGCCAATTTGACGTCAAAGGTTAGATCACACAGGTTGTATTTCTATTATTTGAAGATTGTATTGCTTGTTTAATTACAAATTCAGGTTTATTTCTCAACTAGGTGTTGATTAAATTTCGGATAGATTACACTATGCTGTTACCGCCCTGATTCATAAAGATACATGATTTCATCAGAATGGTGGCCTTGTTTTTATGTCACCACCTCAAGTGTTGACATATCTGTAAAGTCTCCTAACTTTTGTGGATGGTGTTTGGCGGGTGGCAGTCAATGTCTGTAACAAATGGCAGGTGGTGACATTTTGCATTTTGATGCCTTGTCAACTCATCAGAAATATGAAACCCATCATTGGGACTTCCATTATTGAAACCATATATTTAACATAGGCATTATTTCTAATTTCCTTTGTTCATGTTATATATTATTTGAGTAATAGAATTAATCATTGACATTTGCCTAAATGTGGCTTCAGTTATTAGAAGATCTATTTGGCTTGTCACAAGATAGAAAATAGACACATATTGTCAAACACTAGATACTTATTGAAACAGAAAGAACCAACAGCATATTTTTCAAATGAATTTGAACAAGGGGTGTTTTTGTGAGGATATCTGAATCTATAGGGAGAGGGGTGTTAATTGATTTAGAAGTCTGGAACCCTGTAAGGTGAGTCACTCAGATACCAGAACATGAAATATCATGGCTAAGTTTGCTGAATAATGAGGAAATTAGAGAAGTGTGTAGATCTAATAGGTACATCTACAGTCTAATATGTAAGAGAAATACATGATAAGTATTGACTGGTAGTTCATTTTAAATTCAGAGAGAATAGACCTACATATATCAGATTTACAAGGAATAATATTCAATTTCATAGGCATTACCCTTTGCTACCTTAGTAATATTTCTCCCCTGAATTTCCAAATTTGAAATCAGTAGATATGTTAAAATGGGTTGTGTGTGTCTTTACATTTTTCCCCATTGGGTTTTCTGTATATATAATTTTGTTGAGAGTTTAAGTATGAGTGAAAGGGGGGGGGTACATCAACAGGTTCTGGCAAAGATAAACACTCCAGGAGTTATCTTGCTGGTTACCATAGCAACTTGCCTCTTGGTTCTGGTAGAAATGTAGTCTATGTATTTGACCTAATGGGAATAATGTTTAATTGAACAAGAGGGTTAACGGAATAGACTGAAATGGGAGGAAAGAGAAAGCATAGTTGTGTAATAGATTGTAGAGAGTACGTTCTTTTCAGGGTAAGTACAAGTGTGTATGGCCTGAGGTACTGTATATTATAAATACATGAACAAAGTAGATCAACTTACATTTTATGAAATAGGGAGCAAGGAGAAAGTAGAACAAGGTGAGGATGTTTGATTCATTTGAATTCAAAGAAATAATTGTTCTTGACTTGAAAAGGAAAATTAAGAAATATATGATATTGAACTGTTTCGTCAAATTGTCTACTTAGGATAGGTTTTCCTTGGAAATTAAAAAAGTTATTATCTTGAAATTATGCGCTTGTAAGGGTAAGATATTTTCCTATTATTCATATATAGTATAGAGTCAAATTGTTGTAGTTTGTATATATTATTAGAACCTACTAGAATTAGAAGTATTTCATTGAAAGGCCACTGAAAGGAAAAAGAGAGAAGTAGATTGTACTGAATGTACTGATTTCTCATTTCTTTATTTACAATATGAGTTCAAGTCTTAAACCACATAGCAACAGATAAGTTAAGGTAGGAAAAATATAGGTAAAAATTAAGTCAGGGGTCATACACATTCTCATATGTAGGTCAGTAGGTCAAGTTAGTAAAATTGTTAACTTTGTGAATACATTCTTTAGATTTTGATATTTCTGTATTCTTGTAATATGGCATGTATGCACCAGTATTTGGCAGTGTTGATCTAAACAAAATGTAACCAGTGAAGTTAATAACGTCATTGAAGATCAACATTTTGAAACAGTGTTTATATTAGGTGATGATGGGAATGAAACATGTTGGATGCCAAGTACAATTGTTGTGGTACATGATGATAATCATGAGGAAGGATATTGTATAGACCTGCCCCCCCCCTCCCCCCTCCCCCCTCCCCCCAGGCTAAGCAGACATCACTCTGTATGAGAGTAGATACTAGATAGGTTACAGTATCAAAAGCTGATTGAATAATTAAAAGCTGTAGAAGTGGATCAGTTATCTAACCATGGTGTTATTCTAATGTGAAGCAAGCCCCTATTGAATAATTCCCACTGATTATCATATAACACTATAAAGAATGAGAAGTATCTACTCTAGAATTCTGATAGAAATATTCACTCTCCAATTATATTGCTTTTTGGTGCGTACATCTCAGTTGAATGCAGAATACTCAAAACTCTGGACTTGGAGAGAAGAGCTGTTTTGTAATAACAGATAAGAGAGATTATAATGATTAAGTGTGTGTTTTGAGCCTATGTTTGAATGTACAATATATTTTGTTTTTGCGTGTTAAACTTATTTTGTATTGCATGTCTCATATATTTTTTATACACTGTAGAATAGATTTCAATGTACATTTCATTGGTAATTCCACTTTATTATTTCTTTTAATATTTATTATGCCGCCTTTTCCACATTCAAAGTGTAAGCCACTACAATAACATTTATTTACTGGGGGTTACAGTGAACTTCACAATTTACAAATTGCACCTCTATTTTTCAAACACATCACATAAAGCATTTGCGAAATTATTTCAATAAGTCACTGTCTCTTACGATAATTCTACATAATTGTTATCATTTAGTCGTTGGGAAATAAACCCCCAAATCATTAGCTAAGTAACTAAGAATTTGTTTTTCAGATTACACTTTTTCCCAAATAACATCACTTCAATAGAATTAATTTTTTGCAAAAAAATTGAATTGCTTGTCTTGCAGTTAACGAAAAAGAGAACATGTCAATCTAAAGAAGTATGAAACTTTAGGGACTATCTCAAGTGGATATTGAATATTCTCAACCTTATTATAGGATAGAAAAACTTGAAAAATGGTTTGAAGTTATGATTGTCAAGTTGCCATATTGCCCACTGTGAGACTATCTATATATGTAGAGTTAACAGTGTAGGATGTTATCTTAGGTTCCTTAGCTGGTTTTCCTGAAGTGTTTTTATGAATGCAAAAAGGTGGAAAAATTGTAAAAATGAAAGTTGGGATCATGTTGGGAGGTCCTAAATATTGGCATGATCCTGCTATATAAAAAAAACAAACACAGTTAAACCTATCATATAGAACAAAACTCTATTCAATGAATATAGCTTCTCTGTGAATAATTCTTTGCCCAGTAGGTGAACATCTTCCTACCCAGGGAATGCCTCTAATTGACTTATCTTGAATAGAGATTATAATACCTGTTGTTGTTCATGTTACAGATTCTTTAGTACTGCCTGTTCTCTTAACTACTTGTACATCCATGTATACAGTAAAACTTGTCTTAGTGAACACCACTCTCTAGTGAACACCTATCTCTAGTGTTCATCTGCACATAATCTACTTACTTTAGTCTAAATTACCCTCTCTGTAGTGAACATTTACCAACACTGAATGTTTCTCATCAAAAAAAGTTCAATATACAAAGGTTTTACTGTATTTGCTATAAACTGGTGTCACTTTAGACATCTATGTCTCTTCATTCAAGAGGAAGGGCATTGATGTTATTGAATTTTGGTTGTACTATGATGTTTAAGCTCACAAGGTTTGATTATTTGGAATAAAGATTAAGTGTATTATCTATATCCTGGATTATTTGTGCAGCTATATGTTTGAGGTGTTAATAGCACTGGAGGTAAATGATAGTTTACATATCAGTTAATATATTATGATAATTAGTTACATGATCCTTATTAAAATCATAATATCTTGTCTTATTGTATAGGAGCATGCTAGTTAGTATCTTCACATATCACAGAATCCATTTTAAGGACTCCTTATAAAAGAAAATCCTATCGGAGATTAAGTGGTCACAGTATTCTAAGTCACATAATAATCTGAAATATAGGTTAAAAATGAATTTTCAGAATATTTGAAGAAGGAAGGAAAGTGGCTCAGTTTTCTGCTGTAATTGTAGATTGATTTATTGATCATTTCAGACTTTCAAGAATTGCGTATTTACTGTATTAGGCAGGATTACAAAATGAGATTATCAACAACTTTAGAAATTCGCATGTTCTTAGAGAAGATAGGCAATACATGGATAATGTCATTGATATTGTAATTGTTTAGGTATCTGGTCTATAGGAGTCGAAGAAATTTGGTAATTTTCTTCATATTATAGAGGAATGGCGTGAAATGAGATTAACTGGATGGGAAAATTGGTGAATTATATTATGGCCGATCACACCTAATAATCTGAGATTGATGAGAGGCATTATCGCATAGAGTTGTGTTTTACATTTTTCTGCTTTGTATTTCACATTATAATTTATGGATCATGGCTATTTGTTCATGGGATATTGTTCAATTACATAATTACATCCATCATTGTAATTTCAGATTACATTCTGTACTTTACTGTAGAAAAAGATGAGCAGAGATATTTAGGATGAAATAAACACTATTTATCAGGGAACCCTAGATTTGCCACATCATCCCTTCTTTATGTTTATTTTGATAGATTTTTAAAGGAACTCTGCTAACCTTGCAGACAGCTAAGGGAGAATATGTGTTATATAACTTAAAGTGCAAGAAACAATGCCAGATTTACCATAACAACCAGTTTATAAACTCCTGACATTGATAAGTTTAGTTCACTTTGACTTATATGATGCTATATTATGAAGTGTGCATCTGGCATTATAAGAGGTAGTTTGGTATGTTAACTGCTCAGAAGTGCCTTTTAAATGCTCTTTATGTGTTACTTTGACGTTATTGCGTACATTCTAAGATACAATGAAAACACTGAATTAATATCATGTATATTTATGTTTTTCCAGTTTGATGCAGCAGCCAACAGGTCAAGGTCATTGATAGAAGGTCAAGGTCACTTTCATAGTGTGACCAGCTATGATAAAAAGTGTAAATGGTGCTAGATGTGAATACAATGCAATAAACAGTGGAATCTCTCAATCTACGGGTAGAAATCACCAAACAAGGAGATACAAAAACTCAGCCAACAAAATGGCTCAACAGTTTGGATTATTTGTCGCTGTGTTTATGACATGTTTATTACGGACTGCATATTGCAATGTAGATAGCAATGATATACAGAATTACCTGAACACTGTGGAAGAAACACCAAGTTTGGATGTTGTGAAAGAACCAGTTTCTGTGATGTGGGGTCTCGCAGATGCGACAGCAGCTCTAGGAAAATTATTCTCATACCAAATTCCTTCCAATGCTTTCAAGGGAGATGTCACTTCATACAAGGTAAGCTTAATGTCTCATTTCCTAGTCTTAACCTAGTCTTGCTTCAAGACCCTCATGGACCCTTCCCTCTTTGGCCCTTATCTACTTTACAACCGTTGCTAAAGTAGATAAGGGGGTTCAGCATCTTGGAACAAGACTACCCCCTGCCCCATCCAATTAATCCTTGTTACAGGAATCTATATATAAATGCCTGCAAACACATTCAACTCAAACACATCAACTTTTAATACTCCATTCCACAATAGATTTGCTCACAATGCCACCAGCTCAATGGCCTTATTTACGGAGATAGCTTACCGATAGGTGTAGCGGTCGGGATCCTACAAAAATACAGCCCCTTCATAAGCTATGATGATGATACCATGAGCAAGCTACAATGATTTGATTTTGAAAAATATTATTTACTATTGTTTCTTTATTAAATTCCTCCTCCTCCATTCTGAACACTTCTGGTTATTTTAAAAGCATATTTCTGAGCATTCATTCATTATATATAATTATCTATACTAACTTCAAAAGAATACATATACGGTGATATATTGATTAAATCAAATTAATGATTTGAATATAAAGTGAACTGTTATAAATAAATACAAAATTTTTGTTATTTACTGCTGTACTGGTGTACAAAATCTATCAGAGCATTGAAATAATGACCAATACTGGTGAAAATATATAACAAATTTCTATTTATGCCGACTAAAGAACAGATCTACTCCTATGCCGGGCATAAAAACAGATCTACTCTTATGCCGGGCATAAGAACAGATCTAATCTTATGCCGAGCATAAGAACAGATCTGCTCTTATGCCGGGCATAAGAACAGATCTAATCTTATGCCGGGCATAAGAACAGATCTTCTCTTATGCCGGGCATAAGAACAGATCTTCTCTTATGCCCGGCATAAGAACAGATCTACTCTTATGCCCGGCATAAGAATTGAACCTAATTTGCCCAAACCTCATGTTTGCTGAAGTCCAGAGTATTTGTAGGATTCCGAGTTCAAATGTCGGGGTGTTAATGATTCTACAAGGCAGCAACAAATGATATGTTGAAAACTAAATAAACAATGAACTGTAGAATGTTTTAATATTTTTATATTGTTATAAATCTTTCATGACATAAAACTGCAATTTTGCTCCTAATGTGATATGAAGCAGACCTTTTGCTGACAAGAAAATTACTTGCTGTCATCAGAAGCCTGGTTTAACCACTAACTTATATTGACACATGACATCCTTAATTTTTTCCTCATATTTTCAGTCATGAGATTTTACAATTATTCTTTAGTTTGCTTGTGAAACAAGGAGGATTGGCTCCCAGAGTGCAACATCGACATTCTGTCTCATATATGGGCATGACGTGATACAAAATTTGAATTCAAACAGCGGCCATTTTGTTCACTTCAACATTTGAATTGTGAATTTTGGTCTTATTTCCTAACGAGAAATCAAATCGAATCTGTTGAATTGTTTGTTTTGAATTTACAGTCATTTTGATTTCAGAAAATAACGACATTTTAATGTTTTCATTGTTGGATAATATAAATTCTCCTGGCTTATGATACAATGATGTTACTAGTAATTGATGCAACAAAATATGTATATGTAGGAATAGTTTTCCTATTTTTGCAAAAAGTCAAAACGCAGATTTAGATGAAGTTCCTAGAAAATTTTTTAGAACCACTTGAATGGTTGAATCAATGTTTTGCATTGCTATCTTGTATATCCTTCCCTCTACTGGTATACAGCTGTATAGAAGTATATAATGTGGGAGAGACGGGATGCGTAATGTAAGATTTGCTTAGCTAGTACTATTGATGATACTTTGGGACAATGATAAGGGTTTTAATTCTTAACATCATTAGATTGCATCATTTCTCAGTCTTTACCTTTTCCCATATAAAAAGAGTGTTTGAAGTCCTTAATTTCTTTGCGAAATTGTATTTGGTCAACAGGTTTTCAAAATCTGATAAAGCCTTAACCTTATTGGATAAACAAAAATGAAAGTAAAATCCGGAAACAATAAACAACATTAAAGTGTCATTTCAATAAAAGTGTTTCACTTGAAACATCATAGTAGATCATCACTTGAAAAATCTCAAACACTTGCATATATGCAAGAGATCTAATTTTTTTTCAAATTAAAGCTGCTATTCGATTGAAATGGTGGGTTCAAATAATTATATATCAAGTAGATTTAATTATATACAATCCACGTCCATTAGTAATGTTTAGGGTAATTGGGTTATAAACATTTTTTATATTTTACTCATAAACATCCCTGTGTTTTTTATATATAAATATAATTGATTGACTCAAGAAGGTAGATATTTAGTGTTTTAAAGGCTATAAGCTAAAATAAATGCATATCAGCAGTTTTATTGGCTAGAAGGGTTTAACTAAAGGTTTTTGGTTTTTAATTGATCACTTTATGTATGTTTGTAAAGATATCACAAAAGTTCTGGTTTGTTTCAAAATAATCTTAACTCAGAAGTGTCCTGAAGATGAATTTGTTTCCATCAACATGAAAAAACAAATGATAAATCTCTTCATGAATAAACTTTCATTGCAGTACATATTATTTTTCATGCAAGATAAAGGAGAGTTGGTTGAAATTGCAGGATGCTAGTGAATGAATGGTATTTTATCATTGATAATTCCGAAAAGTATAAATGAGCCAGGGCACAGGGAAAGGTGTTTTTCATAAACTGTATTTTGATTTTTTGTTTATCTAAAAGCACAAAGAGACCTTTCAAATGAGCGATGGCTTATGTCTTGTTTTATGGCTGAACAATTTATCTACGGATTCCATTTTCCTGTCAATCTTGGGCATATTTGTAGCAAAATTGTAAGTTTATGATAATCTGGGTTTTCCTTTGATGAGGCTCATTAGTATCATAAATGAAAATGCATGAAATAATGAACATCCGAGTTCTATGTTTAGGTTTATCTGAGCTTATTTTTCACAGACATACAGGGTGTTCCAAAAGTAACAGGACTGGTGCTGGGATTTTGTCAATTCAGCACCGAGTGTCTTCAAATTGTCACAAATTGTACTTTGAAGTAGTGCAACTAAAATTGTAAAGTTTCAGAAAAAATGATAAAATGGGGGAAAAGTTATGGTTACTATAGTAACGTGACATCACAATACCCGGGGCAACTTTTCATGGAAATGTAATATTTAACATTTTTATATTACTGAAGAAAGTATCTTATTCACCTATTATAATACAACATTTCTTGTTTGTTTTATAAGTTGCTTTATATTTATGTGATGTAGCTATATAACTCAGATTCAAGTATGATTACATAATAATAATATTTATTCAATTTCCTGAAATATCATTATGTATAACAGTCTGCACAATTCACTGTTGAGTTTTTGAAAAGACCCAATTTGAAGCCAGTCATCCACCTTGATAAGGCGTCTGCCCGCAAGTCAGCATTAAAGACCACTGCAGCTATAGCGGAGCTAGGTCTTGAGGTCTAAGACCATGCACCATACTCTTCCGATCATGCAATATCTAATTTTTATTTTTGTATGGAGAATGGAATGCTAATCAGCGCGGTAAGACCTTTAGCGTGGTAAGACCTTTAAAGATGAGAATGACCTTCTCCAAGTTGTCCTATGGACTCTGCGTGACATGTCATCAAATGGGTTCACTCATGTGTTTGAGTCATGGATACTGAGTGCTACTTTGGACTGACAAAAGAGGACCCTACTTTTTTCTAGAGGATACATAGGAATATCAAATAATATATTTAGCAAATGTAATTCCCACCATTTGTTGGATTCTAACTTTGATATGGGATGTAGAAAATGCTGAAAGTCTCTGTAACTTTCTGCGTGGAATGTTGCCCCGGGTATCGTGATGTCATGTTACCATAGCAACCATAACTCTACCCCAGTTTCATAATTTTTGTCGAAACTTTGCAGTCTTAGTAGCAATACATGGAAGTACATTATGTACAATTTTGAAGACTATTGGTGCATATTCAACAAAATGCCAGCACCAGTCCTGTTACTTTTGGAACACCCTGTATATTAAAACATGGTACATGAAACAGACTTTTATAGGTGCTAAATTATAAGGGAGGTTATGAATTGGACATGTGGGCTTTAGGCATGCCTGGATCAATGATATATTATTGTCAAAGGTCTTTTCCTGTTCAGCCTGTTCATCTAGACAAGCTGCATTTATAGTGTGTTAGTCCTTCATTCAGGTACTAGAAGTCTGTATTAAGTCCCCTTTATAGTCTGTTTGTCCTTCATTCAGGTACCAGAAGTCTGTATTAAGTCGTACCCTTTATAGTCTGTTTGTCCTTCATTCAGGTACCAGAAGTCTGTATTAAGTCCCCTTTATAGTCTGTTTGTCCTTCATTCAGGTACCAGAAGTCTGTATTAAGTCGTCCCCTTTATAGTCTGTTTGTCCTTCATTCAGGTAGCAGAAGTCTGTATTAAGTCCCCTTTATAGTCTGTTGGTCCTTCATTCAGGTACCAGAAGTCTTGTATTAAGTCCTTGCCCGTAGCCAGCTTTTACCAGGAGGGGGAGCTTTTTTCCAGGGGGGGAGCTTTTCAACAATTTTGGCTAAAAATCATGCGAAAAATTCTTAGAATGGTGAAAAACTGCATGATTTTGAAAGAATTTCTGGCCAGGGGGGGGAGCTTCCGCTCCCCAAGCTCCCCCTATGGCTACGGGCCTGAAGTCCCTATATTATCTCGTATAAAGTATTTCCTTTATTCTGGAAAAATAATGAGGAGGGAGTTTGTGCAAAATTAACAGCTAGAAAAATTAAGGAGTCTGACAGATTGTCTAAATACATCAATACCAATGTTTCTGGTGCTTTCTTTTTAAATAGAATAATCTTATAAATAGCATGATATTTAAAATCTTAATCATAAGGTTATCATGGTAATATGTATGAAATATGAAAAGAAATACATATGTTAGATATTTCATTTGCATCATGTAACAGGTGCCTGTTGTTTAAAGGAAATTTGCAACTGTTTTCTTGTTACAATTATAATTCAATTACCTGTTTTTTGCCAGTTGTTTTGACTGTTTTCAGAAAAATTCTAATGAACCCCCTCCCTCTACACATAAATCAACATCTTATCAAGTTTATATTTTTCTTTTGAGAGTTCAGTTATCTAAAGTTCAAAGGGTGCATGATATATACATTTTCAGTACATGTGTGGCATATCTTATAACACCACTAACTTGACAACTGGACTTTGAAATTAATAAGTGCAAGCCACAACTTCTCAAGTGTCAGCTGATATACATTCATTATGCACCCAGTTTGTGAATATTTTGACACACTTGGATATTTTGAAGATAAACAAAACTCATGCCAATAATAACAAAGCTAGTAAAGCATCCATCCCTGCCTTAAATGAAGTCTGCTGTCTACATTAGATAAACTAACACAAAGTGACTATAGTGAAAGTTTCAGTCTCGTAGGATGATAATTTCACACTGTTCTCTTTAAAATAGGAAAGCTGGCTGATTTTAAGAATTGCCATATAATTCAAAGTCAAAATTTGTATAATTCAAAGTCAAAATTTGTATAATTCAAAGTCAAAATTTGTCTTTGAGTTCTTGTTCCATGTGAATCGGCCATTATCAACATATTTTAAAATAATATTTCATACTATGTTTCATGGTTTGGATTGCCAGACTTCCAGGTAGTAGTAGACTACCTCTAGGATGAGACAATTATTTTCAATTAGTAGATAGACTATAATAACCTCAATGTTTTCTTTATTTAAAACCTCAATGTTGGAGTTCATAGCAACCTTCCCAAATCTCCATCTGCTGTTCAAGCTAATTTATCAAACTGGAATAATAACATTGAAAATTGCTGCAAATACGACTTTTGCTGAATCTACAAGATAAGATGTTATTATGGTTACGATATTAAATGTCACTCTGATCTTGTTAATAGCTTCCGTTTCTCTATGTGTATAAATGAAGTCTGGATTTTGTTCTCTATCTGCAAAATTCATTCCTGTTTCCTTTATTCCTAGGTTATTTTCTTTCAACTCGAATGTGTTTTAGTTTATTGGTTGTTGGCATTAGTATGCTGTTTTATACTTCAGCTAACTCGATAAATTCACTCAATATTTGATCAATCTTGACTTTTGAATTGAGAAACCATCAACGGAATCATCGTAACTAAGCAAAATGGAACATTGATCCTTTATATTCCCCTGAGACACACGAAAGAGGCTAATTAAACTATTTGGTCTGCTTTTCTCCATATATTTTCCTACCAGATATTGACTTAAGAAAATCAATATAACTCAAGTTATACAAAATATGTTTTCTTCAAACATTTTCTCTTGCTCCTTTCACAACTTTTCTTTAAATAATTGGCAAGTCAGAGTCGAGTCCTCATTAGGACTAACTCATTGACTCAATTGAGAGTTTAACCTAATTTAATCTCATTTATTCAATTTCCTTGACTGCAAGTCTAAATCTTTTAAACCAAAATTGTCAGCACAGCAGATAAATAACATTATTTATGTTTTGTGTACCTTCAGGTGGTTGAAGCTGGAACTGATAGTCTGCCATCTTGGCTACATTATGACAGCACAAGTCAAACAATAGAGGGCGTCCCAACACCCGGCAATCTAGGACAGCATTATATAGAGGTCACTGCAAACAGTAAGGACCAGTCTTCTCAGGACAAGGATGTCTTCTCTATCAATGTCATGGAAGATGCGTCCCATACATCTGCCATGCGCCTGAAAGTGTCAAAGGAGGGGTTTAAACCAATCAAATGTCAGACAGGGTCTCCAATTACCATGGTAACTGTTGCCATAGATACTAACTTTGATGGAATGGTTGCTAAGGAGAAAACAGATTTATTGAAAAGCATGGTGTCTCATTTGAAACTGTCTAATGAGTTATTGAAGATTATCCCTATGGGAAACCGACCTCTATTTGACTCTGATGCTCTTGTCGCTGGTCCTGGTGATGCTAAAGACCAAAAACAGGCTGGTGCATTTATGACATGGGAAGTTGGTTGCGGTAATGTTGAACCTAAACATATGGAGGTGCTACAGCATGTCGAGTCCAGTGCTCAGGATGGTTCTATGAGAGAAGCCATTAAATATCCCATCATTGGTTGGCATGTCACCAATAAATCACCCCCAACTCATCGTAGACTGAAGCGCCAAGCTGCCCAGTATGTTACAGCTACCCCTGTACAACCAAGTATGGCTCCCACTAAGACTCCCATTGAAACAGTTGTTGTTGAAGAGCCTAAAGATACCGAAACAAAAACTGATGAACCTACAAGGGTTATCCCCACAATGGAGTCCCCTACATTTGTAACTGGAATACACCCTACTAAATCTCGCCACCATAGAACAAAAACTGCAGGGCGTCATAAGGGTCGTAAATCTAAACACCACCAACCTAAGCAATCACCTCGCTCTAAACATCACCATAAGTCCAAACACCCTAAACTGCCAATCGTGACCCCAACCCAGGAGCCCATAGCCCCTACAAAGATCGTTGACTTCACAGATATGGAATCCAGCAGTGTGTACACTGCACCAATTGATGATGTTCACATGTCCCGCACAGATATTATTGAACCATCTGTGACATTATCTTCAACCAAGACTAAGCCCACAAAAACAGAAGCTCTACCCCCCAGCCGTACCTTCACTCAGGACCCCAGCCCAACAAGCTCTGAGGTTGTACCCACCAAGACAGAACAAGTCACAGTAGCACCATCCGAAGAATACAACTTCGAGCCAATTAGCAAGAACAATATTGATGTTCTATACGCAAAGGTGGGTGAAGTATTCAAGTTCCACGTACCTATGGATACATTCTATGATGTGGAAGATGGGACCACTGAGAATTTGAAGCTGGTATTCTTAACTGCACAAGGCTTTACACTACCTGCTTCCTCATGGGTGAAGTTCGATCAGGAAAAACAAAACTTATATGGACTGGCTTGGGAGAAAGATGTTGGTGTGAGTGAGTATATCTTGGCTGCCATTGACAGTCAAGGAAAAATGGCAAGACAATCACTGGAAATTGTCATCCAAGATAGACAGGACACAAAACCTCCTACTCATGAAATGGCATTTACATTAGATCTCGATTATGATAAATTCATAAACGATGTAGACATGCAAATCCTAGTGGCCAATAAAATTTCTGCAATGTTTGGGGATTCTGATTCATCTAAATTAACTGTCACAAAGATAGCCAAAGGATCAGTCATCTACCAGTTTACCAATAACAGCATGCCTGATGGGGATGGATGCCCCGCTGATGAGATCAACAGACTCGTTGATTTACTCCTGGATGAAGATGGAAAACTCAAACCTGAAATTGTTGAGAAACTGAAACCTATTGAGATCAAGAACTTCACTCTTCAGAGAGCTGGGCCTTGTAAGGATGATGACAGAATTAAACCAGTAGTAGCCAAGCCACCAGGCTTTAACTTCACACCATATCAGAGCAACCCCATTGACAAATTAACTGCTCGAGCTGGACGATTCTTCCGTTATCGAATTCCGAAGAACACATTCACCGATCCTGAAGATGGAAATACCCGCAAATTGAAACTCCTGTTCCTTACCGTTGGGGGCTATGATATTCCTCCTAATTCCTGGATTAAACTTGATGAGCAGAAACAAACTCTATATGGATTACCGTTAAAGGAAGATGTCGGCCGTGATGAGTTCATACTTGCTGGTATTGATCGAGGAGAAAAGATTGTTCGCGATGCATTTGAGATTTTCGTTGAGGACTATCCCGAGAAAGACTTAACGCACACATTCTCATTGACATTAGACAAAGACTATGATAAATTTAGTAAAAATGTCGATGACCAAATCAATGTTGGAGATAAGATTGCTGCCATATATGGTGATAGTAATGAACGATTTATAACAGTGGAGAGCATCAAACCTGGCTCAACAATTTTCACATGGTATAATAATAGCTACATGGGCCACCCCTGTCCTACAGCACAAGTAGCAGCCCTTTTGGAGAAACTCTCTGACAATACTAACAGCCTATTGCCAGAGGTTAGGGAACTATTCAGTGATATACCTATAAAAGAGTTTAAACTTACACCTCTTGGTGCTTGCGAAAAGGACAAGAACTTTACCAATGTTATTATCACAGATATTCCAGTTGGACCGAGAGATGTTGAGACTCGTGGAGCAAGTAATGATGAAGTTTGGATTACAACTGTTGTACCTGCCGTTGTCATAGCAGCCATGTTGCTACTCGCTGGAATAATAGCCTGTATTTTATATCGTAAAAAGCGAAAAGGTAAACTCTCTGATGAAGACCAAAATACATTTGTGAACAAAGGTATACCTATTATATTTGCTGATGAGCTTGAAGAAAAACCGGAGACACCAACAAAGCCTCTGATTTTGGAGGACGAGAAGCCACCTTTACCTCCTCCTGAATATCGGAGGTCGTCATGTGGCAGTGGCGCTCCCTCAACACCATTATCTGATCATAAGGAACCAATAGGAACCACAGATGATGAAGACAATGAGAGAGATGAATATGAACAATTATTGTATCAACCCCCTCCCCCTTTCCCATCTAATGGAAACAATAGAAATGCCAGACCAAATCGCCAACAACAGCAATATAAAAGTCCACCACCTTATGTACCTCCATAATAATACATCAAAAGTAATGACTGACTTAAGTCTTTAATAAGGAGATATTTTGGGAATCTTCAATACAGAGATCATTAGATATTGAACTCTGTGTAAAGGAAGACAATTTGGAAATAAAAACTTCTGAGACAAGTATTTTAAAACAATCCAAGAAAACATAGAGGCAATTGCAATGATTTGAAAAAGACAGAGTGACAGACATACAATATGCAATATGTAATTTAGTTAAAATTGATTACGGATTTATTGAGTTCTATCATGACAATGAGTTTCATCATATATGATATTTTATATCGAAGAAAATGATGACTTCAAACAGTATACACAAACAATCTAAAAAAGTGGCTCATAGATAGCAACAAAATAGAGTTTAGATGACAAACCTTTGCTGTATCTATGCCATGTACATGTATCAATAACTTGAGTTTAGTTATTATCCTTTTTTGGTTTCGAGGAATCATGTTCAATAAGCTGAAGACAACGAAGCAGTTGAAATATGCTGCAAGTTATTAGATGCATTTTTGTAGATGACAAACAATTTCACCATTTACTGCTGTTACAATGTGAAAATATTTCCCTAGTATACTGTAAATAATCATTGATACTTTGACAATGTCAATCAGTTATCTACTCAGTATTAGAGTAACTGGGTGCTAAACTACACCCTATTATAAGGATGACTTTTTGACATGTTTTGACAAAAATTAGGAATGATTTACCCAGAATTCATAGAAAACCATTCATCATTACATAGATATAGGTTCAACTATGAATTCTGGAATATTTTCTCCTCTTCAGCACCTTGTTTGGAAAAACCAAGAGAGATCACTAAGTTATGTGATCAAGTTATTGAGAAACAAGTTGTTTTAGTGAAAGCATGTTTCATACTATTTTTGTACAATCAAGTCCTGCAGATGTAACATGAGTAAATGGTGATTCTAGTCAGAATCCAACTATCTCTATTGCTATATTACACTATAACATTGTGTGAATGTGCTGTTATATTTATTATCTAGAAGGTTTGCCAAAGTTGTATAACAGTAAATTGCACTGAAAGTCGAGAATGAGATAGCATAGTCAGATGAAGCATGTATCTGAAAACTACAAATGAAAGTTTCAGTTGTGAAGAATAATTTAGTTATGTAGTCATACAGCATTACCATTTTTGGTTACATAGTTTTGCATTAAGTTTGTGTGGTTACTTGGCAGCATCTGTTTTAAAGAGGTGACTCATAATGCATAACTATTGTATCGATCATTCTAACAATGCAGTGTCATGAATTGCAAAGTGAATCCATCTAAGAATGCCACTTTAATTTGACCTAATTATCACCAAACTACATGTACATTTACATCACCAATATCTCATCCTCTGTACTCAGGGCTCCAAAATCCAGAAAATATGGATTCTGGACACCTGCTTAGGAGGATGCCAATATCTTGGCTGTTTAAATCCAAACTATCATCGAAGACTAAGTGACAAAGAATAGGACCATTGTAAATAATGTAGCTAGTATGGTTTGTAGATGAAACATTTCATATGTCATTTATTTTAAACCCAATGTCAAAAGTTGTGAGGTATAGAATAGAAACTGTTTTAAGTGAGTGATCGGAAGATACTTCAACTATCTGGGAGTTGTCGATTTAGAAAAAAGGATTCACTTTCTCAAGTCTTATTTTATTCTAACATTTGTCTCTTAACCTGAAGAAATGGAATCGGAGATGGTATGTTAAAATAAAAAAAGATTTGAGAAATAATTAATTTTGTCTCTCTGTTGAGCTTTAATTATTGTGGCTCCCAAACAATGGTGCTTTTATGTGATCAGCAATGTTCAATGTCTTATATTATGTGCCTAGTGTACTTATGCCTAGTGACCCAATCACCAACATTGTTCAATAGTTTTGTATATTGTTGTCAATGAACTAAAGTGTACTTGATTTTTTAAAGTCATAACTATAGTATAAGTTACACTATCATTTATTTATCATTAGGACATTATATTATATTTTATCTCATCCAAATCAATTCATATCTGTAAATAGGATCATTTTACAGTTTTACATGATTTTAAGTTTTTAACTCTTAGATAAAGACTAAATGAAACATGAATTTTGTTGATGTATCCAAAAATCTATCTGTTGTATTAAAAATCTGTTAGTGAATTCTTTAGTTTATGTGACTCATGTTATTGTAAATTGTACATTATTGTATAGTCATTTTTACCATGTGACATAACTTATAAACTGTATATGTATACATAATTCTATGACAAGTTAGCCGTAATATGTGCGTAATAAGTTTATAATCCATAAGATGCATTACACCATAGTTACAAAATTATGAAAAAATTTGTACATATTGCCTATCAGTTTTGTTCATGCCATTCAATTCAGTTGTTTTTCTAGTCTTTCGAAAAACTGTTCCAAGTGTTATTAATTTCTATCAACACTGTAGAGGACATCTTTTAATTTTAATTGTATGTCACTTCTATATTGAATCAAGCCAGTTTTGAAGATGTTCCATGAGGCAAGATATTTATTTTAATTTTCTCCACAGGTTAAAAATCAATAGTTTTAACTCACCTTCCCCTTTTGTATTTTATTCTCATATTTTAGCATTGTATTTATGATTATGTAAATGGGATATATACACATGTAACCACGCATCTAATAGGGAATTGTATCATGTGAGAACTGGAGTCTCTAGCCTTGCCCAAGTCGGTATTTTTTTACTTATCTGATCTTGAATTGTCATAATAAAAATCAAGATAAGTAAAAGAGACCGACTTGGACAAGGCTATGGAGTCTCATACATACAAGTTTTATTAGTCTTGCGTCAAGATCCAATCCCCCTTATTTAACAGATTAAAAAGTAGATAAGGTTGGCTGCAGGGCCTTGAAGCAAGACTAACGTTTTGAGAAATACTTGAACAAAATAGACATCACCAATTTGGTTGAATCGAATAAGATATGTTCTCTCAAAAATGCAAAAATGTCAGGGCAACCCAGTTCTCATGTGTAGTACTTAAAATTGATGTAATTTTGGTTTTCTATTCAACATTATCGTATCTCATATGATATCACCATATAAGACTGAACAATAAATAGTTAACATAAACCATAATATGTTGTTTTTATTTATTTTTACCACTGTTATATTATTCACAATATAAAAGTTACAAAAATGTAATGTAGAACACATGTACATAGACAACGCAAAGGAATCAGTCGGATTGAGTGTTGAATCCATACCCATACAACAAACAGTTTGTGCAGCATTGACATTTTTATTTAAATCAATACTTGAAAATCAAGATTTCAATATGGCTCAATGACCACCATATTATTAAGATACATGTAAATATCTAACTCACTTGAGCAGTGGACATAATAAAATCCAGTATTCTCCTCGTGGTTTTTACCAAGTTGACATTGTATATTTGCCATGTATTAAAGGAAGTCCATGTCCCAATTTCTTCAAAATAAATTCATTGTATTCCACTTAATTTATTCAAAGCTGCCGCTAAAGTGAAACTGGCTCCATTATTCTTATGTATATGTCACTGGTGTATTGCCAAGTTCATTAGTCGAGGCATTTAAAACTTCAAAAATGACAAAACATCACCATCTGGTCGAAATCTCAAGTTGTACAATTTGTTGCAAATACAGAAAGCCGGACACAAAAACAATGGCTACAGCAATAATTCAACACTTCACGGTGGTGACGTAAAAATATAATATACAAGTCCTTTGGAACATGATGCATGTTCCTCACGTCTCAGTGTATGAGATATTTAAATAATATGTACTATGCTATTGCACATCAGTTGAATTTATTCTTTGAAAAAATTATATTCTCAGGCTGCTGGACTGCCCCCAGAATATCTTCCTCTACCCCTTCTAGAGCATTATTGTAATTTGTAATCTTCAGTGCTTCCCATTCAGCCTGCAAGTACACAAAAGCATGTTTCACATTCTCTTCCATTTTACAATTACCATTTACCATTACCATTACCTCTACCATTTTTATTTGTTAAGCCTATAACCTGATAACCCAGATAAGAATACTCGGCTGAAAATTTCCAATTTAATCGCAAATGAATGACTATTTTAATGTTACAATTCTGTTTGTCTATCATTTGAATTGGGTTGAATTGAATATTGGAAGTTTTCATAGTTTTGATGTTGCTTTAAAATACACTGAATGAGAAATTAAGTATATCATTTTGTATTCGTGTAATAGGTCTGTATCTTTAAGGTGCAAAGATGGCAGAGTATTAGTAGTCATATGAGAAAAAGTTGCAATGGGAATTAAAAAACATAATCTGAGATGCCCTATTAACATCCATTAACCTCTTGAATACCCAGAGTGACGGATATATCCGTCACAAATAAAATAAGACTGGTGCCAAGAGGGATGAGAAAATCCGTCACAAAATTTTTCACAAAAATTGCTCTCATTTGAACAATTTTCGTCCAATTTACACAAAAATTGTTTTAAAGGGTTCCGATTAGCATCCCGTATAAAAACAATATGGCGGCTCCAGGCGAATCAACTGGATCAGTCCATTTTTAAGAAATAAGGGGAGTTCTGTAAAATCCAGTTTATTGAAATTGTCTTTGAGATAAAGTAATCCGTTTATAATGATTTTGAAAACGTTATCCAAAGAGTGATTGCGTTCAAATAATACATGTACAACAGCCAATATAAATTCTTGTATTAGAAACCGGTTTGTCTTGCTCTTGTTTCATTTGTAGGATATTTCATATGCCAAGCTGTGTGCTATTACGTTATGGGGAAATTTAGATGCCAATTTTTCCTTATTATACACAAATAGAAGATCCTGAAACGTCACCCATAAATGTGGAATTGATTTGTCAAAATAAAAATCACCCTTTTATAAATGTGTGAAGATCTATAATATACTTATGCTATATAACAGTTAGAGGTGTTGACACAACGACCTCGAACCTGTGAACCCTTGAGTATTATTCCGGGATCGGGCCTTTTATACTAAACGGTGAGCAACACCAGAAACGAGCGTTCGATTTGCTAAACGATATGCGTCACCCTTTAAAACGTGTAGAAATGATCTCTGCCGTCCAATTTTACTAAGCTGAGCATCTAAAGTTGTATAGGTATGTAATAAAATGTCAAAAGGTGGCAAAAAATGAAAAATTCTCTGGTTTCATGCCAATTTTAGAGCCTGGGATTCAAGAGGTTAAATCAATTTTATCAAAATGTAAGAGCTGCCGATGAGTCATTTCAGCTGACATCAGAGAGTTGGGTTATTGTGCTTGTTTTAACTCTTAATATCATATATACTACAAACAAGTTTCAAATTCTGTACGGAATAGCAATTTTAGTCTTCTCTTCTGTTCCTTCTATTTACTATATTCCTTCTATTTACTATATACCATTTGCAATATACAATATTTGTATAATTTTCAGACTACATATAGACTGTTTCAGTTAGTTCAATGTAATAAATTGATTTTACGTTGCATAAAAATACCCAGAGTACAACTAACAATGCGATACATGTAAATTTTAACGCACACAATGATAAACAAATGCTAATTGGCAGGTTTCTGGTTTTAATTATACAACTTGCAACTTGATGCCAGCAGGAATGTTTATGCATTTTATCTGGATTCAAGTTAATGTACTATTTGAGGACATCAATCTAATGATAAAGTAAAATCTTACTGTTAGAGCTTTGGATGGATCCTGTACTTGCATTGCTGAGCCAGTCATTTGGTCCTGCATCATTCTAGTCTGGTCAGCCGCTACAATCAAACATAACATTATATAGAAGTTATTAGTGACCAACTTGAAGCACGGGAATCAAGATATGTAATCTACTATAGATGGCAGCAGTGAAATGCAGAATCAGCTTTTTTACATTTAACATATTTCATGGATGTAGGTCAAAATATTGCACATTCAATCAAAATCGTCATACTAGAAAATATGGGTGAGACGGATCAAAAATTCTGATTTGAGTAGGGTCAAGTTTGGATCAGTAAAATTCAGTAAAGTGTTGCGAGCTGGGAAGATGGAAGGCAGGAATTTACTGATACGAGGATAAATTGACAGGCAGAAGTCTGATCCTATGCACTTACCATTGTCCATTCCTAGGATGAGGTTATACATGCTACGAAGGCCAAACACATTGAGGAAATACCATGAAGCTGAACTGACCCTGGAGATAAAGAAATACAAAATATTAATATATATAATGTAAAGCACCTACATCATGTCTCTGTCCTCCTAACCATTTCCCTGACCCATATAGGTGTGTATGAAAGAGGGAGGGGGTCACATGCTGCAAAATTATCATTGATTGTATTGTGTGTGAAACATTAATGTTACTTGATAACATATGATTATATTGAGTATATTAAGTATTAAGTCCTGATTATTATCACAATACAAGAATTCATTTTCTCTATACTAGAAAACTTACCATGAAGCATCTAAAGTGATGAGCTCTACCCCTCGCTGCAACATTGGTTTAAATCTAAATGTCAGTGGAAATGGCACCTTGGCTGAAAATTGACATATGTATTTATTGTAACCATGGTACATATAAAGTTCAGAAAAATCAAATATCATACAGTGTTATGCGACTTACTTGTCAGTACACCTAAAAATGAGGTTTTAACAATTGTTCATCAAAATTGGAAATTTTAATCCCTTTTGAAGATGTAATTTTTAGGTAGGGTAAATTACCTAATCAAGCCCCAAATGACAATCACAGACAGAACAAGACACAGAGTGATAAACATTCCACTTTGAAAAGCAAAACTCCCACCATGAAATTTACCCAACAAGCCCAAAACCTCGACATAAAAGATATCTTGACAATAGTTTGCTCTGGTATCTAAAAAATTTCAAGTTGAATCATGGGTTTTCAACATGTTTTCCTGGAATGGAAATGTGCCATCCACCAACCCAGCAGTTCAAAGTGTAATAAATAAAACTTACTTGTGAGAAAGCCAGAAAAGGCCCAGTTGATCCAGCCCCCAATGACAATCATAGGTAGGACATTAGTGAGATTACCCTTCAACATGTCAGTCATCATACTAGGATCTGGAAACATAACATAAATATTTTGAAATGGAATAATCGTTTCATGTTATAAATATGAAATACATGTACATATATTAGTTCAGCAATTTAGCTTTGTTATACAAAAGTCTTTTACAGGTCTCAACCAAAAGAGGTAAAAAAAACAAATTAAAAAAACAAGGCATTAATTAATTGTATTTCTATTAGGGTTTCATATCATTCAAATGTAAAAATATAACACACAAAGAGGGCAATTGATGAAGTATTAACCTATTAAGTTCACTTGAACTTTTTAATGAAGATAATCACCCTTGGTATACGCAGCTAACGAAAATTGACTGGTACGGGTCAAAAGCTGGACCAGTACGGGTTAACGGTTTTATTTGAATTTAAAACAGCCATAACTTGCACAATATTGACTTCCTCGTGTCTAATTTCGGGGCAATAGAACCGGTCCGTCTTCTCGCTGCAAGCAGGATGAAATTCTTTGTCACAAAGTTTGGCATTTTTTATAAAATCAAACGCGCGTCATTCAAACTCACAAGATGTAAATAGTATGTCATTTACATCATACCTTGATGGGGAAAAATAGATCTTATATGTTAGAAGTACTAAATAAAAGTTATCGTGAAAATGAGACAGTCGTTCTCGAGAGAAAAGAGCATAAATGCGCATTTAGAGAGTTTTGGTCCGTTTAAAAATCTGTAAAAAATTGGGGTACTTAAAAGCATCGGGCATCATATATTTCAAATTAGACACGAAGAAGTCAATATTGAGCAAGTTATGGCTGTTTTAAATTCAAATAAAACCGTTAACCCGTACCATATTTAATAGTATAAAATAAGTTGATCGACTAGGTCTACCTGGTAGCAAAAACCTCTTGAAAACTTTTCAATGAGAAGGAGTGAAAAAATGGACTTCTTTCGATGCAAAGAAAAATGCTGATTTGCGGCGATTTGAGGGCTTAAAGCTGTGTAAAGATACAATTTTCTTGTTCCGGAACCAAATTGAAATGTTGAATAATTGTTCCGTGTTCCGATCCAAGGAACAGAACAAAATTGGGTAATGCGAGACACCTCTAGCAGAAATCTGAATAAAGTTGTCTGACTGTACTGTACATGTATATTATAGTATAATGTGTCACTTATGTGTGTCACTTAATTGTATCATTATACACCTCACTGCATACCTGTCATGGGATTTTTTTGCACTGGCTCTCTTTTGATACCCTTCAACTTGCCCTCTAGAAAAGCTTTCCTCATTCTAAATGCCTGAAATAAGAAAAATCAGCATAGAAATGATTCACATTTTATTGTCTTAAGATGCATATTCTCTGTATTCAAAACTATAATTTTAGTCATCGCTTCTATTTATATTTTGGAAAATGTGTCCACATTTATGGGCTTTAAAGCTTTATGTAGATATTGATTCTCATATCTGACTTCAGAAATTTTTGAAGTCAGATACAAGAATCAATATCTGAGACTATAATGTAAATGGTTAACTTACACTCCTTGGCAAATATTTCCCATTTTCTCGCAGAAGGCGGCTCCTTATTAACAACTGACTGAAACAAAAAATTAAATAATGTCATAAATTTCTGTATCAGAAACAACTAGTTACAGTCCTAAAAAATGCTCAGAGTGTACCAAAAAATGTCTTCAATGACAACAAATTCCATGGGAGAACAAGCCCCAGAGTCTCTGACAACCCCCCCCCCCCAAGAAGCATGGGTAAAACACTTGCTGCACCACCTTTATATTCCAGAAAATGACCCCCTTTTCAAATATGGTCTGACGCCCCTGCACTGTCAAGTTTGAGGGGAGTTTCGCAGTGTCAAAGGACATGTCGCATGCTGGTAAGTACTGATACATGATGAATATTATGTAAATTTTTCATTTTTCAGGATCAAAGTTGTCAAAGAAATTGTAAGGATCAATGTACTAGATCTAAGCTTATTGGCTACACAACTTGTGTCACAAGAATGAAGAAAAATTCTGTTTCATCATTCAGACATATTCAACTAAACTCACCTATCTTCGATCTGTGTTGATTCCACTTTTTTCTCAGATTGGAGGAGGATTGTTACATAATGTCTAATTATGCCTACCAGGAATGTGATGAGTACAATCGGCAGGAATACCCACAATCTAATATCAGGATCTAAAAGCAATTCAGCCATTTTGGGAATTCCCTCTTTTGTCTCTTTTGAGCGAGATGTTTTTAAACACTCTTTAAATGGTTATTAATAATAACTATTGTTCAATAATTCACTGGTCAGAGATATCATATCGGAATTATTGTACTAAAATCAATATAATTAAATCATATATAGAAAAATAGTAAAATATATATGTCACGTGACTTCATTTTGGGGAAGCCGAAAATGGAGGATGAACTTTTGAAAGAAAAAGTTTTGAAATATGAACATTTTCTCAATGAAACGCTGCGTACCGACTTAAAGTAAGTAATTTAAAGTGAGCGGAGTGTTAAGTGGTATGCATTAAATCGATTTTAATTATTTCCGTGTTCTCAGAGCTTCAATTTTCATCAGAGCCATATATTCAATTATTTCGATTTTCAAAATAATTAGATCTATCTCATTCTCATTCAGTCATTTCTCAGACTCACAAGTCGAAGTCACATGTTGTGATTTAAATCTACCACAGGAAACATAGGCCAAGGACCACGTGTAATTAAATAGTCATGGAGTCCCGAATAGAAAATAGTGTGTAGAGTCCATTTCACTGTTTAACTGCGTCAGTAAAAGCTAAAAAATAAGAAATCAAAATATCATTTTGCAATAATATATGGAAAAATATATTCCTATTGTACATGAATGACATTTGTATATCTTGGATTGCTTCTAGTTTGGCTTATAAAGTGTGTGGCCTCTTATATTTGGATGTTTCTCTGCCATGTTATTTTCAATAAGATTAACATGGCTGAAATTCTTCAAATTACAAGACGGCATAGGCTTATTGCACAAAAAACTAAAAAATCTGAAATATACAAATGTTATTCATGTACATTATAAATATACTTTTCCATATATTATTGCACAATGGTCTCCCAATTTCTTATTTTTGCCGTTCTACCGACAGGTAATCTAAAACAGGTTTTGATTTTAAATTTGTTTCTTTTTCCACCTCCCAAACTAGAATTTGGGCTTTATGATAGATATCAACTTTTTAACTGTTTAAATATTTTGTTTCAGGACAATAACTGTTTAAATATTTTGTTTCAGGACAATTCTGGATAGAAGAGATCAAGTATACAGTGAAACTGCAGAATATCTACAGCTGAAGTCAATAATAGAACGTCTTCGACAAGTATGTATATGTACTTGTAATATGAAATTAATGTAGGAATAGAGATATAGAGTAGTACCCTGGTTTTACTAATGCTCACAATATACTCATTTTGAAAGGTAAATACCATGTACTAAGGTCATATTTGTAAAATGCATATACATTTATCAATTCTATGTTTTCCTAGGATACTCCATCTACACAAAAGAATTTAAAAACAAAGATAGATCTAGGCTGCAATTTCTACTGTCAGGCAAATGTGTAAGTTCCATTTTTACAATCCAAAACCCTTGGTCTTGCTACTTGTGTTTTCGTCGCCTAATTTTAAATCCACAAGCTGCTGTTTTTATTGTTGGCTCACATACTAAAGGAATCATCCATCAACAGTTTTTTGAACCAATGCTCATATCCATCTTGTGCAGTTATGAGTGCCATTCTACCAGCTTTTCCCTTTGTTTTAGAAAAATCTGTTATTGCTGGTTGTGCCCATCAAAAGGTGCCATTTTCTTATGTAATATATTAATGTATATTTTGTTTCCATGGACTTGAAGAATGTATCTGTAAGTTCTTGGCATTATCCATCTACTGTAATTTAACTTTAATTTGGTGCTACTTAACTTGGCATGATTTTGGGATATCAGACATATTGGTGTCTATTTAATTTGGCTTTCTATGGGGATACGTATAGGATGTTCTTATTATCCCATAGTTGAGGTCAAATCATCCCATACTTCACCTTCCAAAGCATTTCACAACTACATTCAGTTTTATTTGTCTGAACTATAGCCAAAACATTAATCATTTCCATGATTGTGTCATGAAATCACTGTGTAAGCATATAACATGTAACAATTCACGTCACATTGGCGGGAGTTTTCAAATCCGTGGAAAAAAGTGATATCTGTGGAATATTCTCCATATTCCACAGATATCGCTTTTTTCCACGCATTTGCAAAATATCATAAATATATATATGTGTTATTCTACAGATTTGACCTCAACTATGGGATAAATACAGAATATCACATCATTTTGAGTGATATCATTTTTATCGCCGAGTTGATATCAAATATCAACACGAGTGAGCGAAGCGAATGAGTGTTGATATTTGATATCTACGAGGCGATAAAATGATATCACGAGAAATTATGTGATATTGGGTTTATCCCATGATTACGATCACCTTGTGATATAGTTCGTCGTAAATACAATTTTTAATCGTTATTTAGCAGCCTTCTAATCAAATTATATACACAATCGTAATTTAATACACCAATGAAACTTAAAGAGAAAAAATTAACGGACCTATTTTCTCAAAAGAGAATAAATTATCTGACCTAATTTCCAACAATATTGTGGCGCAAAATGCAAATGAGATATCACACGGATATGCGTGAGATAAACGATTTTCTGGAAAATATCACACGGATTTCAATGATATCAGAAATATCAATAGCTGTTATTGTACAGATAACACATTAATCGTGGGATAAATCTCATTATCTATTTAACTTCAAGATACTTATTGTCAGTGTTCTTGATTAACAATATCTTCAAATATTTCTAAATTTACCCAGGCCATTTTGAATATTTTTTATAACTTGAAGTGCATTCAACAAAAAACATGTCGAATTCCTGTGTATTTTGGCTAATATTTTATTTTTTTGATCCGCCAAATTAAAATACTCACAAAATTAAAGACAAATGCAGTTTACTATAATGTACAGTTACAATGTCTTTCATTATTATGGTGCTTATAATAATTTCAGACCAGATGCCTCTATGATCACAGTGTGTATTGGTCATGGTTTCTATGTAGAGTTCACCTTGGATGAAGCTATCAAATTCATAGATAAGAAGACAAACCAGCTGACAGAGAAGAGTGATGTTCTAACGAAAGATGCTGCGAAAGTTAAAGCACACATCAAGCTTGTGTTACAGGTAAGGGCAATATGTATGGCTGTATCATATGTTTCAAACTAAGTCCTACTTATACGTTTTTTTAGTTACTGGGTTGTAAAAGAGTAAAATATGTGAAAATTATTTTAAGAGAAACCTTTTTTATTTGGAGAAATTTTTCTTAAAAGTCTACTTTAAAATGAGAATGGAAGCATGGGTAGGCAGTCTGGTCTAGTTGGAACAAAAAAAGAGATGGTCCCTATAATGCCTCATTGTTATAATTTGAGTTCCCCGTTTAAGTCATTAGATTAGGTAGTGAAGAACAAGGGATACAGGCAGAGAAGTTTCTTCCCAAAGGAGACTGGAAAAACCAAAAATACCTTGAAGACTCACTGCATTCTTTATTTCTGAATCTGTTTTTCACATACTTGTTTAATATGTGATTTTTTGTTATCTCCAGGCCCTGAAAGAGATTCAAATGATCGGTGATAGCAAATTTGAACAAACGCGTCAAGGACTTTGGGACTGAAGGCTGCTGAAAATTCAGAGCATAGCAATTGCCAAAAATAATCATCTGGACTTAGTCGACATGGATGAACATTCTAAGTCAGACGAGATTAAATTTGGATTAGTGGTATTATGTGGAATACCAGGAAGTGGGAAATCTACACTAGCAAACGGTTTAAAGAATTACCTCCGGGAAGCAAGTGATAAGACACATGCCATCCATATATGCTATGATGAACTATTCCCCAGCGATTTAGAGAGAGAGATTATAACGCAGTCTCAATACAATAGTGATGAAGGAGAGGGAATTTCAAAATGGAAATCATATAGGAAAGCAATATTTAATTCAGTTGAGGGATTGATTGGAAAAGTAATGCTGAAACAAGTCAATCCTAATACGGATGATATTGAATCAGAAGAGGACAGATTGCTGTTTGAAACTATCCAAAGGACCATACATAAGAAATATGATGAGATATTCTCCGGCATAAGGACAGATGTTAATAATGTTGTGTTAATAATCGATGACAATATGTATTATAGAAGTATGAGATATTCTTATTTCCAGTTGGCAAAGAAGTATAGCACTGGATTTGTGCAGTTTTATATTAAATGCCCAACAGATTTAGCATTAGAGAGAAATCATGCAAGGGGTGAACCTGTGGACAAGGATATTATCTTAACAATGGATACAAGATTAGAACCCCCAAATCCAGAGTTAAACAAATGGGAAGAAAACAGTTATGTTATAGACAGTATGGAAACTGATATGAATGCACGTTTTTCTTTTGTTATAGATAAAATTGAACACTGTTTGAAAAATCCTATTCCTCTTGAAATTGAAGAAAATGTGGAGGAAAAAGAAGAGTCTAGAGTAATTTGCTCTAAGAATACCTTACATCAAATTGATCAAATTCTCAGAAAAATTGTTCAAGATCACATGAAACATTCTGCCAGAAATGCAGCCAATATGGCTGAACAAGGAAAAATTGCTAATGCCACAAGAAGTTATATATTTAGTCATTTTAAACTTGGAAAATTAACATTGGCTTCAATGGATGATGTAACTGACTCAAGTAAAGATAAAAATAGTACTCTGTATAAACATGTCTCTGAATTATTCAAAGCAGAAATAAACAAATATAAACAGTAAAATATTTTATATTATTTTGTTGTTAAGATTGATTGTAGGTGATCATAAAATACAAGATATTTTTCTGCATTGCTTCAAGTAGACTTACTACTGCTTTAACACAATACACACTGAAAGTTTAACTGATCTAGGCTATTCCCCTGTTATTCATTACTGTACATACTTAATTTTGTGTTTTGCCATTTTTATGTCACCACCTGACCACAAGCTTTAAAGACGAGGTTAAACTTTTTCAAGATGGCCTTTAACCTCTATACAGAAAATCAATAAAGTTCTCAATTTTGAAGTGAAAGAGATGAAATAAAAGGTTCTAGGCATGTTGGTATTTAAATGACCAAATTGAATTAATCAACATTTTTGAGATATTGACCAAAAAAAACAAAAAAACTGATTTTTCACCTTAACCACACCAATTTTTTCACCCATCTTCCATGGATCAAACGTTAGCATTCCTCCTCACACAGGAGCGTATAATTAAGGATTCAAGCCCAGGACTCCATGAATTGTAGATGATTTTACGAAGTCTTGTATTTATTTTAAAAAGTTTCTATGATACAATACAAGACATATGGCTCTCCGAGGAAATCTCCGAGGTGCAGCACCTCCATAACACAAAATTCCCCTCCATAATTTTATGTGCTCCCAAAAATCCTCCATAAAGAACCATGAAAATCCTTAAAATGTTGCAAAAAATACAAATCCTAAAATGTTGCACTAAGAACTAAAACAAAAATATTGCTCAGAACAAACATTTGAAATTGTGTTTAAAAAAGACAGGAAAATTCTTGGGAGAGCACTGAGACACGAGTGCATTTTTTCATCCACAATTCATTGAGTTATGTGCTACATATTGCAAAAATGCAATAAATTTTGAACAGTAACTTCAAAGAATTTCTTGCAACAAAACTTTTTGCAAGGGTATTGCAAGGTTTGACATTTTTGCCCATTCTGATTTACAAGGTTTCAGTTGCTCCGATGTGTCATAGCCTTTTTGGAAGTCAAATATGATTTTGTGGCATGGCCATTTTTCTAATCAAAATTATCAATTTCCAATACTGAAGAGGATTACTCATATTGATTTAAAGGTACAGGCGTTTGTATTTTTGGTGAAGGGCGTTCGGTTTTTTGATATATCATGACAATGAAATTAATGCTTTTATTTGATAAATAATTTTATGGTAATTGGTCAGAGATTATATTTTAACTGATCATTTTGCGCATATGTATTGTTTTTGATTTAAATTTATATAATTTTTCATATGTGTGGCAATAACTCAGTAGAATATAAACATCAAAATATCAGGATAGTTACTTGTCATAGAAAAAAATTGAAAAATGGTGCTGGAAAGTACAATGATCTGGTAAATATCTGTCATTTCTTCTTATGCTGGTGACTATACGTACTGAAACTCATACATGAATTATTTCACGTGTTATTTTTTCAATTTAATGCGAAACAATAACCCATAACATTGTATTTATTATGTAAAACACCACCGAAGTACCTACCGGAAGTATGACATTTCAAAAAATCAATCATTTTTCATGATTTATTTTTGCCTAGGTCTATTTTTGTATGTTTTATTTTAGAATAGATGTTTCATTTAATGAATTTTCCATGCTGAGAGTAGAACACAATTATTCAGCCAAGGTTATAATACAATGGATTGTCATACAAATTTGATCTGACTGTAGGGCAATGTCGTTCAGGATCATGTATAGTCAAATTCATAATTCCATAAACAAATTTGATAAACAAGCAAATAACCACATCACAACAGCTTATTGCATCCTACGACCCCTTTAGATTGTGGTCGTACGTGCGAATAATTGGTCAGTCAATGTTTTTACAAAGTTGGAGAAAATACTACGCGTTGCACACCTAAATGACCTACCTCGATACATTATTTAGTATTTTAGAATTCTTTTTATGTAGTTGAATCGCCAATTGTATGGGTTTATCGTCAGAACGAAGAGGTTTTCGTTTTTGATAGCAATATTTGCGTGTAATATTTAACTTATTTCAACCGTAAAATTCCTCCATTCAGTTCCCGGCATGCACCAGTCATAAGGGAAATCCCTGGGGAATTCCCCTTCCGACATTTTGAAAATTGCTGATATATTTCCGATGTAAAAACTAAAATCTCTTCGTTCTGCCGATAAACCCATACAATTGGCGATCTAACAACATAAAAAGAATTCTAAAATACTAAGGAATGTATCGAGGTAGGTCATTTAGGTGTGCAATGCGTAGTATTTTCTCCAACTTTGTAAAAACATTGACTGACCAATTATTCGCGCGTACGACCACAATCTAAAGGGGTCGTAGGATGCGATAAACAACAGCATATGAAAAAATTGAAACATACGAACAAAGCCTCTGGGTGAATTGTTTTATGTGTGATTGATTCAATTTATACGAAACAATAACCCATAACTTAGTATTTATTATGTAAAACACCACTGCAAAGTACCTACCGGAAGTATGACATCAATCATACAAATTTGATTTGAAATCTTCAGACAGTAGACAGGGAGGCAATGTCAATCATGTACAGTGACCCATAACTTAGTATTTATTATGTAAAACACCACTGCAAAGTACATATGTACCTACCGGAAGTATGACATCAATCATACAAATTTGATTTGAAATCTTCAGACAGTAGACAGGGAGGCAATGTCGTTCATGTACAGTGAGATTCATAATTCCGTAAACAACTTTGATAAACAAGCAAATCACCACATCGCAACAGCATATGAAAAAAATGAAACATACGAACATGGCCTATGAGACTGAATTTACATGTAAATTGCAAACTCTGCTCTTAAATATAATATGGGATAAAATAATCCATCCCCTAAGGCTTTCTAGTCAGTTCAAATGAAAATTTAAAAATCATTTATAGCGTGGATAGCAGTGATTATATGCGAAATGGTGATTTCCTTCCTACCCGGATGGCAGCCCAACAGGATGCTGTTAATCTCATATGCCACTCAAAGTCTCGCTCCAATCCTGAAAACAATGTCGGAGTTCTAACACTAGCTAAGTAAGTTCTAGATCATTCATGTAATCTGTCATTTCATTGATCCTTGGTTTCTACACTTGTTTAGTCATATCAGACATATAGCTGTGTAATACATTTTATTATGTACGTACAGTCGTACATTGACACTCGAGAGGTAGCATTGAGGATTGGTCATTATTTAACTAATTTTTTAAAAATTACCAGCTTTTTAACCTATCATAACGAAGCCAAGTAGAAAATTATCTGTAAGAAAATCGTTTCAAGAATGTAGCCTTGTGTATTTTATTGGACAAATTGTATTTTATATAAGTTTACAATGTTATGATTTAGAACTGAAGTGTTGGTGACTCTGACCTCAGACAGTGGGCGTATTCTAACTAAACTTCACCAGGTGCAACCAGAGGGACAAATCAATCTTGTGTCTGGGATACGCATTGCTCATGTAAGTCTTACGGTTTAGGAATTCATGTTTTACATGATTAATAATTAGAGAAATTAGGATTAAAACATTGAAAATATACAATAATCATAAAATACCTTTGCATACTATCTTAAAGGGTATATTTCTGAGCTATAATTTGCATTTTTCTTTCAAACATACCAAAATAGGAAATAAGTAATTTTATTTCCAGTTGGTACTGAAACACAGACAAGGACGTAACCATAAGATGAGAATTGTAGCCTTTGTTGGCAGCCCAGTACAAGAGGATGTTAAAGATGTGAGTTTACATTAAGCAAATTTTGTATTTATTTGCATTAAAAATTCATTCAGTTACTTTATTTTTTTATGAAACAGATTTTCTTTGAAAATTCAGAATGGATCTAACAAGTGTCATTTACAATTAGGACAGTGTACTAGTTTTATACTTAATCATGTAGTTGATATTTCATCCACTTTTTATTTCTAGCTTGAAAAATTGGCAAAAAAACTGAAGAAAGAAAAAGTGAATATTGACATCATCAATTTTGGAGAAGAGGTAAAGTTGAATATATTGCTTAGATGATTTTATAAAATGTAAAAAAATATTATTGATTTTAAATCAGATAAAAACTTTTAATAACTTTTAGCCGTTTTGCAACAGAAATTCTTTTGGGACTATAGAGGCAAGATTCACAGATTCGCATAATTTGCTAGCAGCAATATACTCAAGTGTTCCCTGTCTTCAGTACACACAACGACATGTTCTACTTTCAGAAAGACAATACAGAGAAACTCACTGCCTTTGTCAATACAATTAATGGCAAAGAAGGAACAAGGTTAGTATACTTCTATGGATTGTTTCAGAATGAATTCATCAAAATTTAGGAACTAAACAAACTTGAGGCTTTTAAGTCATGTAAACTATAAGTATGAACAGACAAAAAATGTTATGAAAAAATTAAAATGCAAATTTGACATCTTGTCTATGTTTTCTCTATCTTTCACCAGAAGTGGTGACATTGTTATATAGTCTCCAACTTTTTGTAGACTGCGTTTGCTGGGTGGTTTTTGGTGGTCGGTGTCTGTAACAAATGGCAGTTGATGACATTTTGCATGTTAATGCCTTGTATATCTGTGTTGTAGCTCTCACTTAGTGACTGTACCACCAGGCCCTGTGCTGTCAGATGCTTTGTTGTCATCGCCAGTGATCGTGGGAGAGGATGGCCAAGGTGCAGTACCAGGCATGGGTGGTGGCTTTGAGTTTGGAGTTGATCCCAATGAAGATCCTGAACTAGCTCTGGTGAGTAGTGGAATCACTATTAAAAATATCTGCATTTTTTACTCAAATGTAAATTTTATTCACTTGAACATATCTTTAGGCCTACGCAATTTTCTGTATTTCTGTTATATAATTATCTTTGGAACACTGTACCATAAACCACATGCTTTCTTCAGATTAGTGAGCCTCATGTCAGTTTAAGTTATTCTCACAAGATTGTATAATTTATTAAATTTATGAATGATGTATGATCTCCTTATTACCAGGCTCTACGTGTCTCTATGGAGGAGCAGCGTGCCAGACAGGAAGGGGATGCAGGCAAGGCCCAGCAGCCCTCAGCAATGGAGGTCACACCTGCGCCGGCTTCAGCCGAAGGTATGAAACACCTCTCTTCCAAAAGTGTCAATGAATTTAATTGTCAAACAATAATTGTATTTTTCACAGTTTTCAACATTTCCCAAGTGAATTAAAGGAATTACAACTGGAAATTTGCTCAAATATTGCTCACTTTTTAGATTTCAACTGTTTTAAACTGCTATTTTCTATCATTATTAACTACCTATTTCCCTTGTATCTATATTTAGCATCTAATTTACAGTACTTGAGATGTAGAAAACCCTGTAAAAACTTGTTGAGTTGTTGAGGGTTGAGATTCTTGTTTGAAGTTTAAAACGAGGCCTTTAGCCTAGGTAATACAACTGCATACAAGAATCGGGTACAATAAACCACTAACAATTAATTGACATGGTTGAGTCCTTGGTTTAAGTCTTCTCACTTTTAGCAAAGCATTTTAAATTCTGATGAAAATATATTATTGTAAAGAATTGAAATTTCAACCAGAAGCTTTTGCAAGGCACTAGCCTTACACATAGACATGCATAAGCACCTGTTTGACTAATCATTAATGATAATATTTATACACTGTAGTTTTTTACACAAGATCTTGTTTTTCATTATCACAGTTTTCCATTATTAAATTAGCTGTCTAATAAAGCATGGCTATAATGTGTTCTGATTAGTCAGAAATAAATAATGCATGCCTAGATATGTGTGAATTTGTATTTAGCCAACAGTGAGGAAGCGCTATTGGAACAAGCTATGGCGATGTCCATGCAGCAGGAGAGTGAGGAGCCTACCCCCAGCCTGCCTGTTAACTACAGCTCTATGAGTGAAGAGGAGCAGATAGCACTTGCAATGCAGATGTCAATGGCAGGAGGAGGTAAGAAATGCCCATTTTGACGAGATAAAAATGTGAAGATGATAATCCAAATAAAATCAGAGAAGGTTGATGATTGTTTTCATATACTATATCTTGTAATATTATTCACTTTTCATAATTCAGTATATTTCAAGTCAAACATACTCTATAAAAATTTGTATGTCACAAACAGCTGGTCATGAACAAAATGATTGTTTTTTGTAAAAGTTCCATAGTTGAGAGTCTAATGAGAGAATCTGTAAATGTACCTTTTTACTTTGAAGGATACACACAAACTGCATGTTGAATCCCTTCACAATTTGATGGATTTATTTAGACTTACTATGTATAATATTTGTGATTGTGCAGAACTCATTGGTTAGTTCATTTTGCGTGCTGCTTGCAAATTTGTTACCCCCTCTATCACTGATCCTAGCTTTTGTAAAGATCTATAAAATTTTTCAGATGAAAGTCCTGCTGAGTCACCAATGGAAACTGATGAAGGTGCAACCCCAGCTAAACAGGAGCAGGTAGGGATTCATTGAATCATCCAATAGTCTCATCAGGTTCAGCTGGGCTGTACTGCATTATTGTAATGCAGAGAGATGTATTGGTGCTTTCAATTCAAAGGTTTTAATTATGTGCACATGGGCAATAAAATGCCGGAAGGCAATTTGCCCCAGCCCTGCCTATTCATTGTACATGTATATTTGTTTATGTTTATGAAATAAACCTATTGATTAAAAAATATTATGTGCATCGAAAAGCATAAATGTTAGTGTCATTCAACCATAGCATTGTTTGCTGATGGGAGTCAAAATAAATCTTGTCTCACGACAACAGTTAAAATGTGTAAGAAAATGAGATCAATGAAATAGAGGAGGAATTCCTTATTCCATTCAAAAATATTAACTTTCAATGAAAATTCAATTTCAGGAGGAGGACTACAGTGAAATGATGAATGACCCAGCTTTTCTACAAAATGTTCTGGAAGGCCTTCCGGGTGTCGACCCCCAAAGTGAGGCTGTTCGTTCTGCTATGGGATCCCTTGCCGATTCAAATAAGGATAATAAAAAAGACTCAAAAGATAAAGCTGATAAAAAATAATACAAGTTTGATTAGGATATATGTATAAAAGACTACAACAGGATCTCTATACCTTTATTCTTTGGATAATTAAAGAGATCAAAAAACATTATCGTAAATTATGCGTATGTTACATATATAATTATATATGTAATACCCACTTGAAAAATCTGAATGATGTGAAGGAACAAATGCAGTAAATTGCTTACTTGTGTTTTTCTGATAAAAAATGCACATAAGACAAATCTTATTGTAATTTGAGAATAGTATTGTATTGTGAAGAAGTCGACAATGTTTGTAAAATAAAGTATGTATTGTAAACAATTTGCATGTGTCTGTTGAGCATGGTGAAAAAAACATTGATATAGTCTAGTTTCCAAATTTTTGTTGTCAAAGATTTTATATTTTCCAATATCTATTTAATTTCTTCTGATAGTTATTCCTCAGATTCATTGTCTGTGACCTAAGCACAACCAATGATTTTTTGTGATCTTATTTTTATTCTCTAATTGTTGGTACGTACACAGTACATACATGTATCTTTTGCAGTTTAGTGAAGACAATGATATCCACTCATGGATGAAAATGATACCCCTCAAATCAAATCAGGATATCCTAAATCTTCAGATATAAATAAATATAGACAAACCACACTGCCATCTTTCTATTATCTCAAAACCTATGGGTGGCCAACAACATAATTTTCCTGTCTCTTTTTTATTGATATCTGATTACTGAACTCGGATGTTATAAATCTGGAACTTTGAACTCCACCCGCTGTCAAGGAGAATTGGAAGCTGTTATTCAAACTCGATACTCTGTTGCCCGGAGTACACCAATTTGGTAACAATATTAATCATATCTTGAAGACTAGAACTGCCAATGAAACGTGAATATTGCCATACTATTCGACCAAGAGTATTTTAAAGAAATATCTTTACCAAATTGTTACATGCTGGGCAACGGAGTATGGAGTTTGAATAATGGCTGCTTATCATTAACCCGCTGTGCAGTGCAGTTTATGAGTTTAACACACATTTCAATCTTTAGTTGAGTAAAATGTAGTGTAATAAAGTAATAACTGGAAAATAGATGTCGTTGATTCCAATTTTGAACAATCATCGTACGCCATAAACTGTTTAGTACCCGTTACTTTGAATCGCTATGTGGCGTGTCACAGCTCTTCAAATCAAGTTTTCAATACTTTTTTGATTTTCGAATGTCTCCAATAATCTGAATCGTTAGTAAGTGAATTGCTATAATAGTTATAATCCAATAACATGACGAGGCAATGAATTTATTTTACCACAGGCTATGGACTTTCAGCTCTCGATCTTGTAAATGTAGTTTCAGGATTTTAGATATAAAGATTCAAGTTTACTATTTTTTTCAAGGCCTGTCTGCGTCGCTAACATGCTAAATATAAGAGTTAGCTGACGTTTGGGAGTCTGACTTACCTTCTAAAGGTTAGAACCCGAATCTTAATGAAACCATATCGGAATGTACTAAAAACCCTTCGACCCTTCGACCCTACGACCTACGACTTACAGGGTGTCAAGAATTTTTGAAATATATTTTTATAAAAACCCTTCGACCTTCTATTTTCTATCTTTCTTTACTGTCCGATCAACAATAAGTACAGTATAGGATGTAAACGAAGTGAAAATATTCCCAAAAATTTTCCGAAAGGCATGTCATTTCCGGAAGTTATGATACGTTATATTACCGAACATGCATGAAAATGGAACGTTTGTTCGTTCATTTTACGAGAGCTAAATAAAATGCGAACATCCAAGCATCAGGTATGACTCCACCATTGTTTGTCGTTTTACTACTTGCCACAATCAACCTCACTGCCAGGATATCAAACAAGGCCCATTTTCCATCAAACTTGGCCCAACTACTATCAGGCGGATGTCCTTGAAAAATCAAGTTGACATGGTTACCAAAACCTAAAATAGTTGAATTAGTTGCCATGGCAACCATAGAAATGGGCTAAAAAAAGAGAGCAAAAAGCACCCAAACCCACCATAACCCAATTGAAAAAAGCCTATGGAAAATCATCTCCAATTATCACCTAACTTACTATTGATAATTAGTTGAAAGTTAGGTGTAAAAATTCACATGCAAATGAGCTAATTATCAACTTAATTAACGCTTAATTTGCAACTTAATTAACGATTAACTACCATCAATATGCAAATGAGCTATTTACGTAAATTAGTTGAAAGTTAGTTGTAAGTTTGATGTAAGTTAATCTCTAATTATCACCTAACTTACTATTGATAATTAGTTGAAAGTTAGGTTTAAGTCAGATTTGTGACATCTCAAAAATGACTCGCTTCTTTTTTGCTTCCCTTCACTCGGAGATTTTTGCTTCATCTTGAACTATTTTGTGACGGAATATTCATCTTAATTAGGATCTTTCAGAACAGACAACATTGAACTTGAACTATTGAAATTTCACAGCAAGAGGAGGGAAAACCCCATGATTCAATTGATGACATAAGATTTCCTCCTTCGCACACCTTCTTTTGTCGAAAACGTACCCTCCATCTTGGTTTTTAAAGTTTTCAAATTGACCTAGATTTAAACCAATCAAGGATCGACTCGCTAAACCAATCAGCGACGATGTCATCTCAATACAGATTTACATTATAAGCGTATGTCATCTTTGAACCCTGGGGTTTCTCCCCCTCTTTTTTAATTCTATTTTGCAAATTTTTAAGATTCATGAAAAGCATGTGAAAACATCATTATTGCCATCAACAACTAAAATCAGAACACAAACATTAGACTATAATGTTACATAATAAGGACGTAACAGATATAATCAAAAATATGTTTTGAAATGTCTTTGATCTAACGATCATTATTTAGAAGAGCACATTTGGATTACTTGTGAAATATAGGTAACCCATGTTAGTACCTAAATTGCATTCTAGGATTAATATTATATGATCTGATTCAAAAAGATTTTTAAATTCATAAACATTTCAGACAGAAGTGTGAATAAGATTAAACATACATTGTATTCATGTTCTACATACATTGTATTCATGTTCTACATACCCTTATAATAATGTTGACCAAATTTCATGGTAGTATACGCACCATTCACGTTGTAATTTTCAATTTTATGAGATAAATATCTCTCACATGTTTTCTTTTTCCACCATCTTGAAATTAAATTTAGGGGGTTTGTATTTCTAAATCATGGGCCTAATTTACGACTAATTATCATTAAAATCATCCTATATGTTAACTATCAACCAATAATCTACTTCAGACCAAAAACGTTTTAATTTACCACTTACTATCACCCTCAAACATTTCATATCTTAATTATCAACTAAAAATCATAAATCAGCATTATTGTAAGTTAATTTACGTTGAACTTGCTACTGATAATTAGGCCATAATTATCATTGATTTAATTAACGCTTAACTTTAATTCCAATTGCCAGCAGAATTGTTGATAATTAGTTGTAAATTAGTTGGTAATAAGTTGGTAATTAGTTTTATTTTTCAATTGGGAATGGCACTAATTTTTAAAATATTTCTAGATATACAAATTTTCTTAAACTTTGATATCATCTAGAACACTTCGATTTTTTTCTAGGCTTGGTCAAAGTACTCCCATAGTGTTAGATATCAAAATGTACCTGTTCATATAGGGGTTCGATTGATCTACATCAAATTATAGGGAGTCCGGTTACTTTTTGAGATATCAGCGTCCATTTATTGTAACTCACGTTTGCTACCATTTTCTGAGATGACAGGCAACGCGTAGTAAACATGCTCACGCCGGAACTATATTTTGACCTACATCGCTATTTTCGTAATTTAAATTAAAGTTGAACTCCTCCTCTATATTTTGATACAAAATGGCATACTAGGTACCCTAGAAGTCAACTATGGCGTTATTTAGTACAAAACCACAAGTTTTTAAATGGACTATATACCTTTTGCAGGCCTGTCAACTGTCCCGCAATTTGCGTATTTGTCACGCATTTGCTGAAGAATTTGAAGTCACGCCAGTTTTTTTTGCGTGACAGAAAATGTCACGCAAAATACGCATTTTACCTGGCAATTGTCAAGCAAAAATATTTCTGTAGAAATTTTTTCGAAATATGTTTAAGATACGGTAAAAATACGAACGTCGGAAAAAACCGAACGCGAGCGAGCGCGAAAAATTGGAGGTGTTCAAAGTTTGGCAAAGGTGCTCAAACTTTGGCCAAAGGTGTTTAAAAGTTGGCCAAAGGTGTTCAAAATTTGGACAAAAGTGTTCAGATTTGGACTTAGGTGTCCAACATTTTGAAGTCACTCATATTAGGTGGTCCCAAGTTGAAAGCCCTGCTTTTGGCGGATGGATATGGAAGCTCATACCAGAACTTGAATTTTGTGATTTTTTTCAATATTTTTCAATGATTTACCGTAGTGACACCCTAACGTATCATAACTTCCGGAATGACATGCCTTTCGGAAAATTTTTGGGAATATTTTCACTTCATTTACATTTCTTGTATAACTGTACTTATTGTTGATCAGACGGAAAGATAAGCTGATGTAGTTAGAGTTCGTTTACTACCATTTGGAAGGCGTGTGAGGGTCCCATTCATCAGGTAACACTCATATGTCGAAGTTATGTTCTTGCTATTTTTAACAGTTAACAAGCTGTAGGTAGATTAAATCCTACAGGGAGCTCAAGTTGGAACTATACGTAATCATTTAGTAAACTGGACTGGGAAATCAGAGGTCGAAGGGTTTTTCAATATTAAAATATATTCCAAAAATTCTTGACACCCAGTAAGTCGTAGGGTCGAAGGGTCGTAGGTCGAAGGGTTTTTAGTACATTCCAACCATATCACCTTTGTTCTGTCAACCATGGGGAATGTACTAAAAACCCTTCGACCCTTCGACCCTGCGACCTACGACTTACAGCGTGTCAAGAATTTTTGAAATATATTTTTATAAAAACCCTTCGACCTTCTAGATATTTCTCAGTCCATATGAAGTTGCTGGAAATATTACTTTGTGTATAGAACTTAAGAATCTGTCCCAAGAGAGTTAAAGATATTTAAAGCTGGACTTCGATCGGAGCCGGCGATATGATTTTGGAAAGGTTTCTAAATGAAGAACGTGACGTCACTTCCGAATCATAGCATTCAAAATGAGTAGCGTTTAATTACTCCCACCATTCATAAAATCACGGTGGTCTAGCGGAAGAATGCTCGCTAATGCCAACTAAATAAGTAGATTCTTTGTTTTGCATCCTACAAAATCCAAAGCATGCGAGGTTCTAAGGCTAGAGTACCGACAAT